TTTAAGAGAGCAAAAACGGGCATGGACTGACGAAGAAGAGACAAGGGAGTCAACCCAGTTACGTACGGCCATAGAAGACCAAACATCCCTAACAAAGGAGCACGAAAGAAAAAGATGGTCTTGAGATTCGGGAAAAGAATTACATAGGGAACAAACGGGAGAGATGTCAATATTCCGAGAAACCAAAGTTTGTCTAGTTGGAAGACTGTTTAGGAGAATTTGCCATAAAAATATCATAATTTTGGGAGGGATATCTTAATTCCAAATCCAACGAAATTCCCATTTAAGGGGTAAGATAGAAGGAGAATGAGCTAACCAAGTTGCCGATTTAACCGAGAATTGACCATCCTTAGAAAGTCCCCAACAAGGTTCATCTGGAACAGGGGAGGAAGGAAACGGAATACCTCGAATGAGGTGAACAAGATCATGAGGGAGACAAGATTGTAAGAGGGAAACATTCCATGAATTGTCATCAGTAATAAACATATCAACGGTAATATCAATATTGGAAATAGTATCTGGGTCCAAATCCAATAAAGCTATAATGTTAGTGTCAGCACACCAAATGTCTACCTAGAAGAGGATAGAAGTATCATTGCCAATCTTCCAACGGAGTCCTCTAATCAAGAGTGGTCGTGTTTGTAGTATTTTCTTCCAAATCCAAGAGTTTCTTGACTGAGAACGGTAAGTTAAAAAATGAGATTATCTAAGATATTTAGCTGTAACTGATTGAACCCACAAATTAGTAGGATCGGTAAGTATTTTCCATCCTAACTTAGCCAAGAAATCAGAATTAACAGCAGCAGACTTACGCAGGCCTAAACCCCCTTGACTTTTAGGTTGACAAATAGTGTCCCAAGCAACCATAGGTATACCAGTCTTAGACGGAGATTGCTTTCAAAAGAAATCACGATTAATTTTGTCTAGAGAAGAGGTAACAGAAGAAGGTAAACGAGCTGTAGTCATGGCATAGGAGGGGATAGCCTCAAGATGACTTTGAATTAAAACAACCTTTCCAGCTTTAGAAACCAAATTTGAGGCCCAAGAATTCATTTTCTGATCAGCTTTTGCAATAAGATGCTGAAAATTATCTTTAGTATAACGAGAAGAGTTAAAGAAAACCCCTAAATAACGACCAAGGAAGGATTTAGGTGTCATATTAAAGAAACCTGCCAAAGAGGATTTAGTATTATTAGATACATATTTAGAAAAAACCATAGAAGACTTATTAAAGTTAATAAGTTGACCCGATAACATGGAAAACTCATCCAAAGTATTCCGAAGAGAAGACACGGCTGTAGAAGTGGCTTTACAGTAAACAAGACTATCGTCCGCAAAGAGTAAGCAAGGTATTTTAGGGGCTGTTGGTGCAATTTTAACCCCGAGGCCTAAAGATTTGTTTTGACTAAGAAGTACTAATTTTTTTGTTAGTACTTCCATACAAATAACAAAGAGGGCCGGGGAAAGAGGATCTCCTTGACGTAACCCCCTAGAAGGTGTTATGAGAGCAGTAGTGACATTGTTGATAGTAGGAGAATAAGACACAGTGACAACACAAGCTTTAATCCAATTAATCCAAGTAGCATTAAAGCCGAAGGCGGAAAGAGTAGCCCATAAAAAATCCCATTCAATGCGATCATAGGCTTTTTCCATATCTAGTTTCAGAGCCAACCAACCTTTCTTACTTTTGGATTTATTGAACAAGTTTAGAATTTCATGGACCAACAAAATATTATCCTGAATGGCATGATCAGGGGCGAAAGCATTTTGGTGAGGACCTATAATCTTCTTTAAATAAGGCTTCAATCTGTTAACCAATAATTTGGAGATAGCTTTATAAATAGTAGTACATAGACTAATGGGTCTATACTGACTAGCCTTTGGGGGGAGTGGACTTTAGGAATTAACGTGATAATAGTATGATTTAATTCCCTAAGAAGAATACCATTGTAAAAAATACCTCTAATAGCTTTACAAATATCTTGACCAATTATGTTCCAATAAAATTGAAAAACTTTTGGGCCATAACCATCTGACCCAGGAGCTTTATAAGGGGACATGTCAAAAAAAAAAAAAAACAGATCGTATCTCATCGTCTATAAAAACCATTGTGAGTTGTAGATTATCATCTAGAGAGATGATTGGGTTAATCCAAGGTAAAGAAATGGTTCGATCATGGTTAAAAGCAGATTTAAATCTAGTAGAGAATTCAGTATAAAAGAGGTCTGTAATATCGGATGGATTATCAACCCATTGATTATCATCGTTTTGCAGACGAAAAATTTATTTTTTACTAGAGCGAAACTTAACTGATTCATGAAAAAATCTAGAGTTACGGTCACCTTTGGTTAACCATAATTTGCGTGCAAATTTACCCCAAAATTTTTGACCAAACAAAAGAAGCTTTTCACGTCGACGAATAAGTCGACTAAGGTGTTGACGTATATGAGCATTGTCTGGAAAAAGTTGTAATTGAGATTCTACAGAACTCAATTTTGATTGATTCAAACTTAATTTAGCTTGGACATTACCATATTTAGAATGGTGCCAATGCTTTAAGTCTGTTTTAGTACGCTTCAATTTTTGTAAAATGCAAAAGAAACGAGAGCCAGTATGTCGAGTCTTCCAATTTTTAACAATAATATTCTGAGCTTCTACATCCGAAGTCCAGATATTCTGAAATCGAAAAGAAGAAAGTCTAGGCGTCATATTATTATTAGTAACCAAAACAATAGGGGAATGATCAGAAATGGAAAAGTGTTCATATAAAAGGGAAGCATCCGGATATAAAGAAGACCATTGAGAACTAACAAAGGAACGATCTAATCTTTCATAAATAAAGTGGGATTGAAAAGGACGCTTCCCGAAAATGAATTTCCCATAGCATGGATGTCTATAGCTTGCGTAAATTGAGCAAAATGTTGAAGTCTAAAACATCTAGCAAGGGAAGGGGGTTTTCCACCTTGCTTATCATTAAGTAAATATAAGTCATTAAAATCCCCAATAATACACCAAGGTAGGGGAGAACTTGAAACAAGGTCATAGAGCTCCGACCAGAACATCACTTTTTGAGAGGTTTGAGCAAGGGCATATATAGAATAAAGCATAAAAACAAAATCAAGTGCTAAATCATGAATAAGTAAGGATGCAATCCTATGCTGCAAATGTACGACAGGGACAGAGATATTAGGAGAGTTATAGCAAACCCACATTCCACCACAATGCCCTACCGGATTGATGATATGAACAAATTCATAACCTAAGGTTTTACTCAATCTATGACTATTAGAAGGGGAGCTCATAGTCTCAATTGCAATAAAAATGTCTGGATTGCTTTTTTTCTTTAGGAAAATAATCTCACTAATAGCCTGTGAACGCTTAGCCCCTCTAACATTCCAACTAATAATCTTCATAAAGAAGTATAAGAGGAGTAAAAAACAAAAAACATACTACAAGAATGTAGGAACAAATTCCTATAACTTTGTAAACAAAAGAACAAAAAAATCCCAGGTTTCATGGAAACCAATGTCATAAGTTCCTATGGAAAAATCAGGAACATAGTCAAGAGCAAATAAATGGAGAAGGGGGAAAATCGTAAGAAAATAGGCCAAAAAGCGTAGACAGCCCAGACAGTTCCTGTAAAACAAGAAGAAAGTGTATAAATGATTTGAAGAGAATAAAAATAACAAAGGAAACCAAAAATACACCAAACAACAAAAGCAGAAGATGAAAATAAGAAAGACAAATAACAAACTGAAAAGAAACAAAGAAAGAGTAGATAAGAACTACCCAAAATGAACAGAAAAAAGCAAAAAGAAAATACGACTAGAAATAAGAGAAACGAAAATTAAATGTAAATTGATACAACAAGAAGTAAGAAATAAAGGACAAAGTGTGGACAGACTGTAAGAACTAGGAATCAGACCAACAAGTGTAGAAGACCTGACAGCATGAGAAGTCACATCATCCTGAGACATGAAAAGTATGAGGGAGTAGCTAAACCTGTACATAAGGGAATACAGAGAACAAAATAGAGGTAATTCATATAGAGGAAACTTAGTCCAAAGGAAGAAGAACCAATAATACACTGCCCATTGAGCTTGGAACACAGTCAACAAAAATAGCAAGGAAAGGACAAAGCAAAAGCATTGTAACTTGTAAAAGAGATAAGGACAAGGAGCAACAATGCAAAGGGGGAGAATTAGAAAGCGCATTAGTCCTAATATTACCAGAGGAGGGCATGCAAATATGAGCTAAGTGGCTCAAAAAGAGTAAGTAAACCCATTTAAAAAGATTCCAAAAAAAATATTCATAGTATTTAACCGCAACACAGCAGGAATTCCGATAATAAAAGATGGGAAGGCTAAATAAGCATAGGACCAGTAGACATGAAACATAAGGAAAAGGGAGATAAGTAGAAAAAATAAAGTACCTTAGTGGACAGAGTAAAATCCACAAATGTCCAAAGTGGGAAAACCACATACCAGTCTGAATCCCAAAAGTATGAAAGCATTCAGCAAAAAGAGAGGGCAGAGGGTAAAGAAACCCAGAAATAAGTAATAAAAAAAACTAGGATGAAAACAAAGACAAAAAGAAAAAGGACCAATAACAAGAAATAGCTTGAAATATGTACATATATTATTATAATTTGATATAGAGATAGCATCTGGTGATACATCATAAAAACAGAAAATAGTAACATAGTACAAAGGAAAAGCAAAAAAGAAAGATGCTTATATTCAGAGGGAAAACAAGCATCAAAACTAGTACATACAAGTACACCTAAATAAAAGTTAAGACTAGTACAAATACTAAGTAGGAGAGTGAACAGACAACAAAAGAGTAAAGGCAGGCCGTAAAGGTGGAAAAATTGGACAGAAGACCAGATCATTTTTTAGGGAGCCTTGAAGAAGTCGAGTCTTCAGCATCTTCAGTCCTCCTCCTCTTACCAGAGGATTCAGAGGAGCAGGCAGAAACATCGACCCACATAGCATCAAAAAAACGTTGTTCATCATCAGAGGAAAGACCTGTATGCTGATTGGAGTTTGTGCCATACTCATAAACAGGAGGAGTTGAGGCATCATGATCATCCAATAGTTGGTCCATGAGAGAAGGAGAACTATCATCTTCTATCAGAAGAGGGGATGCATCAGCATCAGCAGCAGCAGAAGGATTAAGAGGGGTGGCCTCTCTCATAACATCCTCTATGGACTCATGGGCAAGCAGCATTAAGTACTGGTTATCCATAGGGACAGACGAAGAGGGAGGGACATGCACAACCATGGAACCTGAAGGAAATGAGGGAATCTCAGAGGAAATAGGCTGGTTGGGGTTAATAACAGTAGAACCAGGTTTCGCTTTACTCCTCTTTCGCCGCTTTTACTCCCAGATCCTTTCTTCTGCCATTAATCCCCGCTGCTCAACTTCAATTTTAGCTTCAATTGTGCTCTCACTACTGTTTATCGATCTATGGTTCTCTCAATTTCAAGGTTCAATTGCAATTTGGCTCACAACTTTCGGCCTGTACTATTGTGACTAAATCTATCCATTTACGTGTGACTAAATCAATGACCTATTTTTTTTATAATATTGACTATCTGGAAAAAAAAAAAAAAAAAAAAAAAAAACACACACACACACACACAAATAAAAAAAAGGTCAATGACATCCTATTTTGTATAATATTAACTATCTGATTGATATTGTTATGTAATTACTTACTGCTATAATGCATTACTTGTTGCAATCTGCTGTTGTTCTGTATATACATACATTACTTGATGTTGCTGCAATTGTTGTAGTTATTACTAAATCAATGACATCCTACAGGCATGGAGAATAATACTCCCAAAAACTCTGACTTGGGTTGGAAATATGGTTTTCTAGTTGGCCCGAAAAAAAACAAATGATGTTATATGCAAGTATTGTGGAAAAGTAGCCAAAGGTGGAATTCATGGACTTAAACAACACTTGCGGCTGGTGGATATCGTAACATAACAATCTACAAAAAAAATGCCCTGATCATGTGAGCGAAGAAATTATTGAATACTTGGCTAAAAAAAAAAAAGAACGATCGAGCACAAATGAACTTGGAGCATGACTTTGATGAAGATGCTAATTATGATGAATAAGAAGATGGAGATGAAATGAAAATGACAGCTAGCTCAAAGAGGAAAACAGCAGCAAATGCAGCAAGAAATGTAAAAAAATCAAGACATGTTGGGCCAATGGACGCTTTTATTAAGCCTCCAAGTGAAACAAAAGGCAAGCAAAGAACACTTGATGAATCTTGCAATAAAGAACAAAGATAAAAGGCTTGTGGAAGCTTTGCTAAATGGATGTATGATGCTGGAATTCCATTCTATCCTAGCTTTTGAGTTGCAATTGATTCTATAACAACAGCTCGAATAGGAATGAAGCCTCCTGCTTATGAGGTTCGAGTTCCCTTCTTGAGAAAAGAAGTTGAAAGCACTAGTGAGAGCATGAATAATCATAGACAAGAACGGACAAAAACGGGTTGTTCTATTATGTCGGATGGATGGACAGATAATTGTGGAAGGACAATCATTAACTTTTTGGTTAATTTTCCAAGAGGAAGCATGTTCTTTGAGTCGGTGGATGCCTCAAACTACTCAAAAACGGGTGACAAACTACTTGAGCTTCTAAGTAAAGTTGTGGAAAAGGTAGGAGCAGACAATGTTGTGCAAGTCGTCACAGACAATGGAAGCAATTTTGTGGCTGCTGATTAGTGTTTTAACTTTTAGTAGAACCTAACACTAATGCGTATAATGCTGTAATTTTTCACTTAAACTAAAACTTTGAGAAATGATGACAGGTTCACTCTTAATGGCGAAGTATAAGCACTTGTATTGGACTCCATGAGCTTCCCATTGCATTGATCCAATGCTTGAAGATATTGCCCATATTCGGGTTATTGATAAAGTCATAAAGAAAGCAATTCAGATGAACAGCTTCATTTATCAAGGCCCAGGTCTTTTGAATTTGATGAGGGAATTCACAAAACAGAGAAACTTGCTAAGGCCCTCAAAGACTAGATTTGCAACAGCTTTTATCACACTTTCATCAATACAAAAGCAACAAGATAATATGAAAAAGATGTTTACATCTCAAGAATGGAGGACTAGTAAATGGGCCAAAGAACCGGGAGGCAAAAGAGCTGCTGAAACTATCTTGATGCCTTCCTTTTGGAATGGAACTGTGTATGCATTAAATTGTAATGGTCCATTAGTTCGTGCATTAAGGTTGGTTTGTGGAGAAAAAAACCAGCCAAGGGATATATTTATGAGGCTATGGACCGCGTTAAAGAGGCAATTGTTTTATCTTTCAATGGAAATGAGTCTAAGTACAAAGAAGTGTTTGAAATAATTGATAAGAGGTGGGAGTGACAGCTACATCGTCCTTTACATGTTGCTGGACACTTCTTAAACCAAGAGTATTTTTATGATAATCCTCAAATTGAGCAATGTGAAGTAGTAAATGGCTTATATGAATGTATTCAAAGGTTGGTTCTTATTGTTGACAAGCAAGACAAGATCATGGAAGAGCTAACATCTTACAAACAAGCATATGGTCTCTTTGGAAATGCAATGGCAATAAGACATAGGAAGACTAAGGCTCCTGGTATAAATTTCCTCTCTATTCACTTTTACCTTTAATATAAAATTTGTTGTGCAATTATATATTGTATACTAATTTACTATTTATCTTATGAATTTGAAGCTGAATAGTGGGGTTATTATGGCTCTTCAACTCCCACTTTACAACAATTTGCCATCAAAATCCTAAGTCTTACATGTAGCGCATCAAGTGTGAAAGAAATTGGAGTACATTTGAACATGTAAGGAAATGTTCTCAACAAACTAATGTGAACTATTTTATAATTATATATATACAAACTAATTAATGATACCTTTCATTTCCAGATTCACGGCAAAAAAAGAAATAGGCTCACCCAAGCTTGATTAAATGACTTGGTGTATGTTAAGTACAATCGAGCATTAATTGAAAGGCATAAGTTACGTGATAAAATTGATCCGATAGCTTTAAAAGACATCGATGACTCCAATGAGTGGTTGAGTGAGAGGACAGAAGACGCCGAAGATGCATTAGTATTTGAGGATGATGATGGTCTCACATGGGGACACGTTGCAAGTGCATCTGGAATGTATGAACAGAGGTTTAATTTGAGGTCTAAAGGGAGTAGTTCTGGAGGAAGGGGAGGTAGCACAAGTCGAAGTTCGCCACAATGCTAAGGGAAACCATAATACTAGAAGAAGGGGAAGAAGATGAAGAAGATTGGGAAGAAGATGATGAAGGTTATCAATCACTTGAGGAAGATGACATGGAGGAAGACATTGCGCAAGGAGATGACTACATATGATGTCAATCTTCCATGTCCTTTTAATATTATAAGTAACTATGTTTATATATACGTAGTATCTTTGTTGCATAATATTTATAATAAAAAAAAAAATGATGTTTGTATCACCTACATGTGTTTTTGGAAAATTAATATAAAATAAAAATATTTAGATATTTTGTTAAATTATTATGTGCTTTCTTGATTTATTTAATGGGTTATGTATGCTTATGAGTAAAAAAAAAAGGCTTATTTAAGTAAAAGTGCGCCTCACTTCGACAAGGCGTGCGCCTAGGCTCCAAGACCCCTATCGCCTTAGTGCGCCTTTTTATACATTGGTAGTAGTAGTAGTATAATTGACAAAAAATAAAAGGTTAAAAGTGAGCATTTCTCAAAAATAAAAGGTTAAAAAATACAAAGTCTGTTTTTTTTTAGTTGTAATTTTGGGTATTATTTGTGAGATATAAAATGTTCCAAAGTTGCAACTGAATATATATATTAGAGGTAGTATTAATTTCTTGAAAGTAAATATCAAGATAAATCTAACGATATCTAAATTGACAAATTCTGTACTGTAACATTCAAATCACAAGTAGTTAAGGTAGAGTTAGTTAAACTAGATATGGAGCAATTAATTGAATCAGCACCTATAGATAATGACATATGTATAGAAAATAGTTCTGGTAGTAACACTTTCAGCCGATTCAAAATGTGTAATGAATCAAGAATGAAATCAGAAAATACACGACACAAACTATGGAAATGAAAAACTGAAAACCTATGTTACAACACTACTATGCAAATCTTATATAACACCACCATGCAACGATGTGAACAATTAGAGAGGATAAAAAAACAGCCAAGACTTTGCAACCTAAACTAAATTTATACGACTAACCAAGTTAAAAAAGTACTCAAACATTTTCAGGAAACATTAATAAACTTTCGTGTCTCTATCCTTGCACAATACATGCCACTCTTGAAGAACTGCAGCTTGAAGAGCAAGATGCTCCACCTCTTCTGCTGTTAGTTTTGACAAAGTCGAAGGTCCTTTACTTTTCTCTTCCTCCTCCGCTTTTTTCTTTTCTTTCTTTTCCTTTCTCTTTTTCTTCTTCTCCTCATCCTCCCACTCCCCTCCACTACTTTCTTCGTCCTCTTCACTTTCAAGCTCGGTTTTGGGGCGTGGCTTGGCAGCCTTCAGAAGTTCTATTCGCTCCATTGATACTTTTAGGCTTTCAGCAGCAGCAGTTTTAACCTCATCTTCAGGCATGTATTCACAGCCTCCCTCTGTAAGGTCATCTAGCCAACCTTGCAAGTCTGATTCAATTTCCTTTGTGATCGAGGCATCAGATGCTCGTACTACAAATTTACACATCATGGTAGTTGTTTCATCACCCAAGTCGACATTTCTGCTCACTTCACTAGCACCAAATATCATCATCCACAAAAAGCCCCCATGCCATGTTTTAGCAGCAAAGCATAGCTGTTACAATAGAAAGATGGTAAGCAAGGAGGACCCTGATAATATCAAAAAATGTGAAATGAAAAGAGGAACTATATGGAAGCTCAAGAAATAAATGAGGACAGAACACCTCCCTATACCATCAACCCAAAACTATGATTAATAAATAAATAAATAAATTTAAGAGTGTCAAGAGCAACAAACTGGTGGGTATGAGGTAAAATAAAATTGAACAGGTGCGACTGCCATATTGTTCAGGCCTAACGTCCTGTAAAGCAGTTTAAAGACCAAGGTTTCATCTTGTGGTCAAGATTCACAGGGCTAAGCAATCTCAAGTTTGAAGTATATTACAAGGCTTTCCCATTCCCTTCAAGTCTTAAGAGCTCTAACCTCACGTTAAGAACATTTCAGTAGTAATAATTGTAAAACTAACAGGCAACTTGGGGACTTCCAAGGACTACTGGTTCTAGAAAGTCCTTTCAACTCTATGTTTTACAGCCCATTAAAATTGGTTGAAGAGTATTCAAGCAGCTAGGAATTCAATAATAAAAAGAAATGTAAAAAGGGGTATCCAATTCCCTTTCATTTCCTTTCATTACCCAAACATTGGAAATCTATTTACTTTCTTTTCCCACTCCCTTCCTTTCTCTTCTTTTCTATTACTTACATTAAACCAAAAAAGACCCAAATCAAACTACTCTGCAGTTTATATTTCAGCATGCTCAGCCTTGTAAATTACATATACAATATAAAAGATTGGTAATTGATTGAACATATACTTATAATCCCATAATTAAATAAATAAATAAATGTAATAGAATTATTAAGTTCCAATATAGCATTAAGTACGACTTACTGCTCCAAAAGACGTGTATTTCAGCAGACATAGCTACAACAGAAAAATATAAATATAATAATGAAATGTTTATGGACAGATTACTTCTTGAGAGGAGCATATTATCAAACTCTTACTTCCAAGGGTGAGGTTAAATACAATGAGGGAGGGTTTGAAAGGGACTCGAATTTAGTGAACTCTAAGTTCCAAGTGTGGATGACTATAAGGAATAATCACTTTTGGTTCATGTAGCCGACCCCACTTATGGAATTAAGGCTTTGATGGATTGATTGATTGATATTATAATAGATACTGTCATACTTATTCTCACAACCTTGGGTTTACAGATTTGCATTTACAGTAATAAAAAAAATGCAAACAAAATTCATGGTTACCAATTTATCAACTATTGTAAAATTTTCCTTCTGCTTCAGAAGATTTAGCAAACAGATCTTTTAAGCATAAAATAAAATAAAAATTAGTAATTTGTACTAAAATCCAATATGTTCCACATACAATTATAATTTTAGAACATCTTTATTTTTCAATAGAACAAAAGAGAACTTCTACAGTTTGTTTGGGTAATGAAAAGGGAAGGAAAAGAAGGGGAGCGAACAAAAAATAATACTCCATCCCTCCATTTCCCTTCCCTTCCCTTCCCTTCCTTTCCTATCCTCCTCCATTTCCTTCAATCTAAACACACTCCTAGGGAGGGGGAGGGGGAGGGTGAGGGGGAGGGGAAGGAGAAGGGAGGGGAGAAAATAGGGAATACTTTCCTTCTGCTCGAATTTGCATTTGAGTCTACAAGAGATTTTCACCAAGAAATAATACCAATAAAAATATGGGAAAATAATATAAAAATTTTAGTACTTCTCCTGATCTTATTTACTTGCAATATGCCTATTCACAAGCTCTAAAGCACACTCTGGCCACTTAAATATCTAATTCTGTGTAAGTAAACATAATAAAAAGTTTTTACTTTTATAACACACATGAGAACAAAACTAACAAGATCTCACAAGATAATAAAAAATTTTATTACCATTGTTAAAGCAAACAGTCAAAGAAAAGTTTGACCACCAAAATATATGTTGCAATTAATAAAACGGAAATTACAGCTATTTGATAAAATTAGCAAAAAATATGAAGAAAAAAATTTATGGTATCATTGCCACTAATCAAGTAGAACATAATATCCAGCACGAGGTGCTTGCAATTCGTATCCTAAAACTGAGGTGAGCACTTATCTTTGTTAAACCCCAGGGTTATAGCAAAAACAAATTGCTGACCCAATGTCACAAGTTGATAGACCCATAGTATTGGGGGAGGGAGGGGGGGTATTGTATCGTGTTCACAAACTTTAAAGGCTTATAATGAACATGATTAGGAAATTGATTTTGTTTAACCTCAAGTTAGCCTACTGCCTATGTATTATCCCTAAGCTAAAATGATAGGTAAAGCTTAAACATCTAGTTCTCTACAAGCCCAATCCACAAGAAACAGATGCCAAATGGACAATAGCCATAAATGAGATATATTGAGTTAGTAAGCAGGTCATAATGTCTCTCGTACCTGGAATCCAGCAACTGTGCGGATAATGTGGGAGCAAACTTTATGGAAAGGCTTGGATTCCAGAGCCTTCAATCCGCTCAAAAATGGTGAAGAGTCATATTGCTTAGCAGCAGTAGCCATAAAACCACTTCCCTCGTAAGTATATGTGCCCGTGTACTCCACAATAGCTGGTAAGCTTGGCCATAACCGAAAGTATTCCACAGGAGAGATTTTGTGTGGTAGAAGCAGCTCAGTCAATGGAATTTTATAAGGCTGGCACCTCAAGATCACAGGTTCTCCTAGCTCTGGCTTGGAACTCTTTTTTTGTCGTACAATTTGGGGATCTTCTTCAGCATAATCACCTTCATAATGTAGAGGACCAGTGCCATAGAACGGATAATACAGTACTTGTAGCCAAAGGGCACATCTCTCAAAATGAGAAGCTCCTACAGTAATGCTACAAGGTACAGGATCCTACATGATGACATAGTAAAAAGTAAATAGTGATGCAAACACAAACAAGCCAACAAGATAAAAGATAAATGTATGAAAACTCAAACAAACAGACAAATTCACGATAACCAGCAGCAAAATCCCGTTTAGCAACACAATTGAAAACAACAAAATTAAGTACACTGTCCAGAAAATGACCAGGACTAGCATTGTTCAATCCACCGATTCATCTCCATCTGGCATTTAAAATTGTTGCACTGCCTATAATTAGTTGCTATTCCCCAACCAATCTTTCAAGAATAGATAACCTTCATTATTAATGAATAATAGCTCAGTATCGAAAACAGGGACTGCAAAAAGTGTTGTGATACTTTATAGATTAAAAAATAATTATTATAAAAAATTTGAATAGTTATTTGCCTAGAAATTAAAAAGAAAACAAAACAGCAATTGTTAAAAAGTACTTGACATTACAGCATTAAACAATTAGGTCAAACAGAACTGAAACAACATATTCTCTTCCCGACACATCTAACCTATAGTCACAAGATAAGATGGATATAAGTAGATGATTTTGGAGTCACATATTGAACAAGGTTTGGCAAGAGAACCTGTGAAACAAGGTTACGCAACTGCCGCACTGCTTGTGGTGAACCATCCATAAAATATAATGCCCCCGTCAGGCCAACTCGAATATCAGCCCGGTTAAGTTCAATGTCAGTTAAATTTATAACCTGAAAGAATCAATTGCTTAGCTTTTTGATAGGCCACATAGGAAGTCAGAATATTCATGGGGGAAAAATCAACCTTCAGATGCAAAGTGATCCTCCCATCACTGGGATCTGCCAAATGATAAGCTTCAACATAGGATGGATCACTACTGCCGGTCAACGTAAATGCTCTTGGTGGAATCTTAAGTAGAGATGAATCTATTTTACTTGACAGCATGAGCGTCAATTCACTGGGATCAGGCCTCCAAAGCTCTAAAATTGCTTTATGTACCAACCCTTCCAGCTTTCTGTCCTGAGCTGCAGCTACTTCATAGAACTGAACAGTCAACTTGTGGTGGCTAAAAGGATAGTCTCCTTTGGCTTCACTTACCCCAGCCCATCTGAGAAAAGTAAACCACCAAGTAATATGTTTGAGCTTAAACTTATCAATATTTATTCTACAGCAAACAGTTTGCAATATATACCACCCCCCCCCCCCCCCAAAAAAAAAAAAAATAATAAAATAAAATAAAAATCTACAGTAACCAGGTGCAGGAAATTGCAAATAAAGATATACCACTTAGCATGCAAGATACGCTGCAAATACTGAAACAATGGCAAACAGATATTACTGTCGGAGATGAGAGAGCATTTTCCTGGCATAGAGAAGAGTGATATGTATTGGGAAGAGAAAAAACGTTTTGGTTGAATGATGTCTTCGTTATAGGTGAGAATGTGCCCTTTGTATTTTCTGATTCATTTACACTACATGCAAAGAGTAGAAAGACAAATGTAGATACATCTAGTTAATTGTACTTCAAGTTCATGGTAGTAGATAATCCATACATATCCTGTACGTGTCATTATATTCTAATTTTTCTAATCAGTGGCAAACATCTTACTTTTGAAGACTCCTATTCAGCAGTAACTGCAAGTTGGAGCAAGTTAAAATCATATCTTCTCTTCATTAATACCTTATCCAGTTTTTATCATTGACTAGGAGAAATACATAAAACATATAACTCTATGAACAAATTATTTCATGGAAGTGTAAAACTAGGGATCCCTACACTTCCACAGATAAGTGCAAGACCTGAAACACCACATAGAGACAAATTTTTATTCATCTAAACTGTCATCTACATAATTGTTTAAGGATGAGACTATTAAGGCTATTATATAGTATATTTCTTTCTCTATGATGTAGTTTTAATAAATATGGTGTACGGAGGCATGAATGACAAATAATTCAAGACACACCTTATAAAATTACTCGAGTATAGTAAGACTACGTTCTTATCACCTTTAAATAAATCTTAGGAAACAAAGTTCAAATGTGCTCCTAACTCCAATAGAGGGCCATTAGAGGCTACTCAAGTTCAGTTCACAGCTACAATAAGCTCTAGAAAGTTTGGATATGCTTAGATACGTAATTTCAATTACAGGTTAAAACACAAACACTAAGATAGAGAATTTGGAATGTGAGTTAGCCAGTTAAGGTAAAAAAGTCGTTGACATAATCCCATATTTAGGTCAATGATCCAAGGTCAGCACGTTTGACGTATTGAGAAGGTTGAAATTACAAATAACAAAGCTCTATACTTTATTAGCAACTCGCAACAAATATTTAAGACCTCTCAATTATGAACAAACTAACAGCATATATTTCAATTAGTATACTCAGCAAAAAGTTCAGATTATAAACTCAACTTCAAAAAAGAGAAAGAAAGAGAAACACAGGTGAGTTGTGAGTATAGGTCAATGAATTTGACAGAAACGACCAGGAGGGAGGATTATGCCCTTAATAGAAAGAATATTTCCGTATTTATAAGGACAGACAGATAAATTTACCGGTCATCTGGATGCAAGGTGGCATACTTAATCCTCTGCAATATCAAACGACACTGATGCTTATTGACAGAATCTGCCGAGCCATTATTTCGGAATTCTTCAAGCTCTTTACTCAGCAACTGACCAGCCCTTGAATTTCGAGACCCCAATCGCTGAGCACTCAGAAGAACTGCCTGGACATCTTGCAGCCTGTTTGTCGTCATTGCAGATGAATCCATATTGAGCAAAACTTTATGGATATTAGTCACAATAATGTTCAGCGGATCATCAGGGTCATCAGCCAAAAGGGGATCTAAACCTTCAAGATCAATGTGCTCAGCTAGAGACCAAATGAGACGGGCAGATATTCTAGGTGTATTCACCTACAAAATGAAAACAGTAAGGGAGGTAATTCTGTAAACCACATCTAGTCCACTAACTTTACGATTTTTTTACACATAATAGCTCTTTGGTATACAACAAAATAAATACTCTTTAAGGCAAACCTTTATGGTTCTCAGACTTCTCACAGTAGGGTCTATAACAAAATTATAGATACGAATAACTAGAAAACTAATAAATGTGTACACGTCTCAAATACAGCTGCGTATGACAATAAGAAAATTACATAAATGGGCTGCAACAATTCTATATAATTTTGAGAAAATGGCATCAAAGGACATCATATGATCTTTATCCATCTAGTGAGTCGGACCTGAATATGAACTCCTTGAACAAAAACAGCTCCCATTTTGATTTGTATGCAAACGCGTGCTTTAGACTTTTAACTCAACTCCTCAGAGAAGGGGATTAAAATCATAAAATCTAATTCCAAGATAATGAAATGTGATTATATAAATTTGAATCAACGGATTAATAGTTATACACGATAAATTGAATATAGCTAAATAATGCTATATATTATATTATACAGGATTTCTGAATGTCCCCAAGACCTAGAAAACAACCACAAGGCTATGGCGTTTTTAGGATTATACGTTCATATAATCTTAAACTCTAAACCTATTACTTCCACCATTCTTTTTTAGTTGACAAATTTTGCCTTGTGACACTGTTCGCAAACTCTAGTTTGACTAGTTTTTATGATTTATAGTTATGGTAAAACATAATCATGTGAGTACTTGTTAGATTGTTAGAATTAGAGTTGTCAAAAGCTGACCCGACCCAACCCGAAATACCGACTCGAACCCGATTATTAACCGACCATCTAAACCCGAAAAAATGTTAACCCAAACCTGACTTGACCCGACCAGAAACCAACACTAGACCCGAGTTGACCCAAGTATGTGAGACCTGAACCCGAACATGAACCGATCTAGAGATGACCCGACCCAAATATAACCCGTAAATTATTGACCTGAACCGAAATTGACTCAAACCCATTTTAACCCGTCAAAACCTGAATTTAACCCGACTTATTACTAGCCCGACCTGAATTCAACCCGACTCATTCCTAACCCGACCCGAATTCAACCCGACGTGTTGCAAATCCGACCCGAAATCAACCCAACTTATTATTCACCCGACCCAAATTCAACCCGACTTGTTATTCAATCCGAATTCAACCCGACCCAAATTTTACATGACGTATTACTAACCCGGCCCAAAAATACAACTCGATTTGTTACTAAGCCGACTCGAAATCAACACGACTTGTTATTGCCCCGACTAAAATTCAACCCAAATTGTTCCTGACCCGATTTCAAATCACCATAAATTCAATTTAGACTTCCTTATTATTGTTGATCAAAGCATTGTCTAAGGAGATCAAGTTGGTTCACGCCAGCAAAAGAAAGGAGCATCATCCCCAAATTTAAAAGTTAAATATAGTACATATTTGTTGTATGGTCAAAGGAGATAATTATCTTCCTAAATTATGGACTATAGTTCCCTAGTATGTTGCCATATATATTATAGTCAAAGGAAATAATCAGCTTAATAAAAAGATAATTATCTATTTATAGTTAGTTGAACCCGAATATGACCCGACTTGGAAGAAATGACCCGACCTGATTGTAACCCGCAAATTATTAACTTGAATATAACCCGACTTGAGCCCGAGAATGACCCGACTTGAAAATGACCCAACCAGATTATGACCCGCAAAATATAGACTTGAATCGAATCCGACTTGAACCCGAGAATGACCCGACTTGAAAATGACCCGACCTGATTATAACACCCAATTTATTGACTTGAACTGAACCCGACTCAAACCCGATAATGACCCGACCTGATTTTAACTCGCAAATTATTGACTTGAGCCGAACCCGAGAATTACCCTAACCCGTGAAATTAAACCCGACCTATTGTTTACCCGACCCAAATGTAACCCAACCTATTATTAACCCGACCTAAACCCGACCCAAACCCAATAAGATGTATGACACGACGTGACCCGACTCAAGCATGACCTAACCCGAACCCGATCCGCTTAGTTTTAAAAAGCGCGCCTAGGTGCACTTGAGGCGCGAGGCAAAGCGAGGCGGTCTACAAAGCGCCTCACTTTGTAAAAGTGTGGCGAAGTCAAGGAGGCGCGCGCCTCAGCGCTTTTGCCTTGAGGTGTGAGGCGCTGTGAGGCGACGCCTTTTAGATGTAAGCGCGTTTAGGACACGTGGAACTACAATTTATTAAAAAAAAAAAAAAAAAAAACCCAGGCTTTAATTAAAGAAATAGAAGAGAGAGAAAACATATCTATTTGAAAATTAAAACCCTAGCTTCCATAAACCAGCCAATTCTCGTTGGGTCTCAACCAATTCTCGCCGGAAACCTGCCAAATCTCGCAGGAACTTGCTGATTATCGCCGGAAACCTGCCGATTCTCGCCGGAATCGACCCAAGTTGTGGTGGATCTCGCCGAAAACCAGGTTAGCTTGCTGGTTTTTTTTTCGTTTTTTGTACTGCTTTTTTTTTTTGAGGAATTGTATACCTTCTTCGTTCTCTTTTTTTTTTTTAATCTTTTTACCGTGTTTTTAAAATTTGTTTTTTTATCTTCTGTGTTCTGATTTTATATTCTTTTTTTTTTTTTTGGCTTTCCAGTTTATTTATTTTAGTTTTTTGGTTCCAATTGTTTTTGTTTTTCTCTGTGTATATATTTATTTTGTTACTGTTTTTTTTTTTTAACGAAAATTGTTACTGTTTTCTGTTATAGGAACATGGATGAAGAGTCTCTTCCTTCCACCGGATCATCCGATCCCAACCCGGCTAGAAAATATGGAAAACCGGAACCTAATAATAGAGTTAATTGGCATTGTAGTTTTTGTGGTAAAGTGACTAAGGGAGGGGCACATCGTTTAAAACAACACTTAGTTGGTGGCTTTAGAAATGTCACTAAATGTCCTAAATGTCCAGAACATGTGAGGGAGGACGTTAAGACTTTTATGATAAACAAAGCTCAAGCAAAAGTGGATAGTCAAATGATGCCAAGCATGTCCCAACTTGAAACGGATGATGTTGATGAAGAAGTGGAAGATGTTGTCACAAAACATGAAAAAGTTGTTAAGAAGCCTAGGCACAAAGGTCCTCACTTCAACTCCTAAAGAAGTAATGCAAGCTAAGAAGGAAAGGAAAGGAATTTTTGGTGCTTGTAATAAGGAGTTAAGGGAGAAAACTTGTAGGACAATTGGTAAGTGGTTTTATGATGCGGGAATTCCATTCAATGCGGCTACCTATGCTAGCTTTGGAGCAATGATTGAAGCTATAGGTCAATATGGTCCCGGATTAAAACCACCAAGTATGTATGAGCTTAGAGTTCTTATCTTGAACAAAGAAGTGAAAGATGTTGAGATGCAAGTAGAGGAGAACAAGAAAGAGTGGGCAAGTAAAGGTTGTTCAATTTTATCCGATGGATGGCGTGATTCGGTTGTCCAAAAGGATATTATAAACTTCCTTGTCAATTCTCCTAAGGGTTCCGTGTTCATAAGATCATTGGATGTATCGGATGTTGTGAAAGATGCGGAGTTATTGTATAAACTTCTAGATAAGATGGTGGATGAAATTGGAGAGGAAAATGTTGTTCAAGTGGTGACGGACAATGCATCCAATTATGTCAAAGCCGGTATGAATCAGTAAATAGTCTTGTCACTCTTATGATATGTTCAATTAAATTTTACTAATTGTTTTGCTTTGTAAGTTTTTATTTAATACCTTTTTTTCCTTTTTGTGAAGAGGAAAAAAACTTGAATCTAAGAGACCTCATCTTTATTGGACTCCTTGTGCTGCTCATTGTATTGATTTGATGTTAGAAGACATTGGCAAACTACCAAGAGTTTTGAATGCACTAAAGAAGTGCATGTATCAATGGCTATATTTATAATCATACCTCTCTGGTGAACTTGATGAGGAAGTTCACACAACAAAGAAATTTACATAGGCCATCAATTACTAGGTTTGCAACATCTTTCATTACACTAGCTCAATTTCATAAGCAAAAGGGCAACTTGAGAAAGATGATAACCTCTCAAGAATGGAGTGCTTCCAAGTGGCAGAAGGAAGCAGGAGGAAAGAGAATTGCAACTTATATTTTGCAAGCAAGCTTTTGGAAGAATGTGGTGTATGCTCTTAAGCTAACAAGTCCCCTTGTTAAGGTGCTTAGACTTGTTGATGGTGAGAAAAAGCCTCCGATGGGATACATTTATGAAGCCATGGATAGAGCTAAAGAGACTATAGCGAAGACTTGAATTAAGAGAAGAGAACTACATTAAGGTATTTGAAATCATTGATAAAAGGTGGGATAGTCAACTTCATCATCCTTTGCATGCGGCGGGTTTTTATCTAAATCCGGAACTTCATTATGATCATTCCGTAAATGTAAATTGTGAGGAAGTTTTGAAAGGTTTGTATGATTGTATTGAAAGGCTAGTTCCGGTTGTGGAAACTCAAGATAAAATACTTGCAGAGTTGGATGAATTTAAGAATGTTATCGGTCTCTTTGGTCATACAATGGCAATTAGGGGAAGGAAGACCAAATCTCCGGCAGATTGGTGGTCAGCTTATGGTGCAACAACTCCTAATCTCCAAATGTTTTCCATCAAAACTCTTAGCCTTTTTTGTAGTGCTACAGGTTGTGAAAGAAATTGGGGTGTTTTTCAACAGGTTTGTACCTTCACTTTTATTGATTTATGTAATATGATTTTATTTTATTACATTAAATAGCTTATATTATTCTATTTTTACAGCTTCATTCTAAAAAGAGGAATCGATTGGCACAAAGTCGATTAAATGACATGGTTTATGTCAAGTATAATCGAGCATTGCAACGGCGATACAAGAGGAAAGACACCATTGATCCCATTGTCTTAAATGAAATTGATGAAAGCAATGAGTGGCTACTTGGAAGAATGGAAGAAGAGGAGGAGGAGGAGAATGATTTTGTATTTGAAGGGGAGGACTTGACTTGGAGTACAGTTAGTAAAGCCTCCGGAGCTAATGAACCTTTCTATGCTACTAGAGGAGCATCAAAAGTTGATAAAGGAAAGGGAATTGCTAGTGGCTCCACTTCTAAACCACGTCATACAATTGTGATAGATGATGATGATAATGAGAATTATGATGATGAGATGGAAGAGGATGTAAGTGGAGATGAGGCTTATCAAGAAGAGGAGGATGTGTATGATGATTCATCAGATGAGGAGATGGATTACTAGTGTCTTAGTATGCCATATAACAAGCTTGAAGACCTACTATGTTTGCTTTTCTTTCTACTTGATTTACTTTTTATGTTGAATGTGTGATTTGCTTTTTAGTTAGAGAGTTTCATGCCATTAGCGCCTTTTAAGGGTATCTTGTAGTTCCTTTGTTAATTTATGCATTTATAATATGTTATTTTGATTATTTAAGGCTTATATCTTGGTCTAGAAGTAAATTATAAGGTTTTGGGCACTTAAGGTGCGCCTCGTATCCAAGAGGCGCGCGCCTCCGCTTTGCGCCTCGCGCCTAGGCTCTGGGGACCCTTTGCGCCTCGGTGCGCCTCTCGCTTTTTAAAACCAAGCCGACCCGCATATGTTACGTCATTAACGCGAATTGACCCAACCCGAGTCGACCCGACTCACTCTTACCTGACCCGTTTACCCGAATTGACAGCTTTAGTTAGAATAGTCATAATGTGTAATTTCATAATATCAACTTTTAATAAATTTTACGTGTTGATAATTAGATATAGTATCTGTTGAACTTGTGCGTTGGCAAATGTGATAAAAAAATGTGTCAATTAAAAAGGAATAGAGGAAGAAGGATACAACCTTTGTTCCCTTTTGTAGGTTACATTTCCTTTTTGTTGGTTACATTTGTGCTTTTTTCCTATTTTAACAAACTTTTTTCTTACAATACCCCGCTTTAAAACAATTCCTTCTTACTCTCTTTTATAAATACCCTACATACAACACATACTATAGTTTTTAAATTCTCTATCCTATCCTCCTTAGCCTATGTAGCTAAGTGTAACTATCATTTAGGATAGGGTGCAATAACTAATAAGAATTCTAAAGAATATTATAATTCACCAAATTTAATCAAGTTAAAAAAGATATATTGGCAGTCTTCATCAAATATTCATAACATATAACTTACCATGGAAAATATAAACAAAACTCCTCAAGACATTTATGCGTAAGTCAAAACTAGTAGTGTCTAGTTAGAAATATTTGAAGGGAAAAGGAGGGAAGGGTATGGAAGTGGAAAGGGAGAAAGGGGTTTATTTTCCTTTGTTCAGATAACAATTAGCTAGGGCCACATGAAGGAAGGAAGGATATGAATACAGATAAAAACCGAAGCATAATCATATTGTTGTTGCCACTAATAACTTCAATTATCAATGGCTTTTGCATTACCAGAATCGTGGATATTTGTACAGCTCCTTACATCATCATTTATTTAATGTCAACTCCCTAAAAACAAGGTGGGGGCAGCATAAAAGACACTAGACTCATTTTCTTGATTCCATGTTTGCTCAAACCAACCCAGCTACCCACCAAAACAAGAAAGAAAGATTATTTCTAAATATCTACGACATACAGAGAGATTGAGGTATGGGTTCCAGTGATACCCCTTCACAAGTTAAGAAGAAACAAAACATTAAACCAAAAATTCAAGGCATGAAAGCAATAGTATGTATTGACCAAGCCAAATGCAAAGCCTATGATAGTACCATCTTTGACAGCCAAAAAAAGTTTTGAGACAAGTGCACCAACCTCACGCAGGTCATTGACAAGCTCACGCTGAAGGTTCTGCAGCCTAGTCTCATTCAGAATCTGATCTTGTGAAGCACCATCTTTCACTCGTTTTACACCACCTCTTGTATCATATATATGGCAAAGTCTGACAAGTAACTTGAGATAGCAATCAATTGCATAAGTTCTACCATCACAGTCCCACTTAACACAGGGTCTACACACTTCTACAACTTCCAAAGCAGGCTCAGTCCAATTTAAAGCCCCATAGCCAGTACCATAAGCAAGGGCACCAATGACTCGGCTCTCCATTCCTGAATTCTTTTGTTCTGGAAGAGGCAGAGACAACTGGAAGCAGCTTTCTACTAGTGAAGCCACCAATTCTTCTCTGAACAAGCTTTTACTAGTGACACTATTAAGATCTTCTTTGATCCTCACATCTTCAAATAAAGAAGCAATGTCAGTTCCAGCTAGAGGCTTCTGACCTCTGCGAACGCTTTCCTTGGCAAAGAGATCAACACAAAGAGCTGTACGACAGATGCATGCTAAAGCGTGCATGCGATCTGATTCTGCCCTCAAGTTTCTCACCATAAGAAGCAACCTCTTAAACAATGAGACCTGTTGCAGAGAAGCCGCAGAGTCAGACACTTCCAGTGGTTGCATAATCAAAGGGCAATACAGGTTTTCTTTTATCAAATAAATCAATACAAAGTAATTATTAAAACGCTAGAAATCCAGAAAAGTCCGTCGCCTTTCTTAAATCAGTATGAAAGTAACAGCTTCTAATTAATCGCCTTTCCCAACAGATTTTTACTAAAGTGATTGATGGAGACTTGGGGAGAATGAACAAACAATCCACTGATAATAACTGATACTTCTCTAATACAAATGTTAACCACAAACAAGAATAGCAACCTTTTCATCCAAAAACATAATTTTGTTCATCATAATCGGCTTTCCCAACAAATTCTTACTAAACTGATGAATGGGGACTTGGGGAGAATGCACAAACAATCTACTGATAATAAATTAATACTACTCTAAAGCAACTTTTCATCCGAAAACATAATTTTGCTCAATCATATTCTATTAAAAAAAACATGAACATAAACAAAACCAACTCGACTACATAAACAATTTTAGAGTAAAAAAACAGATATGGACCTGCATAGTAAGATCAAGGAGATGAAGATTAGTAACAACAGCTCGAACGATACTCTCCCGAGCAGACGAAAACTCCTGTCGATCCCATAGCGTGAGAATGGCGATAATAGAACCCGAAGCCCACTCAGGCTTGCCACCAGGAACATCAGCCAAATACAGCATATTGATCGCCACTTCAAAGATCAATGCAGGATCCAATGACTCAAGAAATGGGGACAAATGCATAACCACATCTGATACACCCACAAACTTCTCAGCATTCCCAGTAACCAGCAACGCCGCCCCATCTGCCACTCCACCCCCCTTCGACGAGAGCTTCCGAATCGCCTCAACGGACCCGGAAGCCACAGCTTTAACACCGTAAACCAACGGAAACACCGTAGCACGAAAGCTCTCAACAGGAAGAACTAAAGCCCTAGACATAAGCGAATTCCGCCTTTTCCACACAAAATCAACCATTGAAGACACCCAATTAGACCGAATCGCAACCGAATTCTCGCTATCGACGAGCTTATCCCCCGCCAAACGACTCATCTTCTTAGATTCAAACTCCTTAAACAATCTCCCAACAGATTCAAACGCGACCTTAGCAACAGCATCAGAAGAATCCAACATATTAACCCCAATTCTCCTCCACCAACTGGAAACACGATCAAGCAAATTGACATTATTCTCGCAAAGAACAACAAGATCGTCTCTAGCTAGGATACACCCAAGAGTCTCGGTGATCGAGAACCGGAGATTGCTGCTGGGAGAATCGAAGCAAGCAGTGATGTGCTGGTGCGAGAGAGTGATAAGGGAAGCGAGAAGATGCGAAGGGATGGCGGAGAGGAAGGAGACAGCAGCAGCGGAGACGTCGGGGTCAGGGAAGTCGAGGTCGGATTTGATGCCGGAAATGACGGAGTCCCAGAGGTCGGGAGTAAGGCGAGGAGTTGAGCGGATGAGATCGAATGCGAGTTTTTTACAGACGGCGGAAGCGGGGGAAGAGACGATTTCTTCGACGGAGGTTTTGGCGATGATGGAAGTGTCGCGGCCGGCGGCGGATTGTTGGAGGGCTTGGAGGAGGGCGCCTGATTGACGGAGGGCGTCGTTGGACCGGAGATCGGCTTGGATCTGCGCGAATAGGATGTCCATTGTTATTGATGATGGTATGAGGATGAGTGAGGAACTTGTTATGGAGGAGTCATTGAAATGTAGAAGCAGTGCCAGTAAGCTTGCAAAGGACAGGGGGGAAATGAAAGAGAGTGAATGATTGATTTAGGCCTTGTTCTTTGGAGCTGTGCTCTACTCTGGGTTAATATCAATTAATAATATCAATAAACCAATAATTAATAATACTTAATAATTAAAGTGCATAATAATTAAAGTACATATTTAAAAATAATAATGTCTAACAATTTCTTTTCTTTGAAAAAATTTCTAACAATTTCTAAATACATATTGATCTTAATAATAACACATAATACATGTTTTTTTTTTGGAATAGTAATACTACATTATTATAATAATAGTGAAAAATAATGATATAAAAAGGAAGATATTTTACTAATTTGTTACCTTTTTTATGTAAAGAAATTAAAAAAGTAAATTGAATTAATTAATAATTAAATCTAACACTTCCTATAACTATATATTGTGTTTAAGAAAATTGGGAAAAAACCTAAATGAGAGAAGTTGAGCAGACGTTCGCCATACTCTCAATTCTCCATTGAAGCTGCGCTTCCGAGCTTTCTCTCCTCCATTGAAACAGCTTTTGAGGTCAGTTTTAATTAATAATCGAAAATCGATTTCGCAATCTAGGGTTTAGTTTCATACTTTTGTTGCTTTAATTCTCAGTATAGTCTATTTCGTTGCTTTCGGTTTCTCTAGTTTGATTTAGTGAAAATTATTAATGATTAATAAGTATGTATTGATGTGTTAATCATGCTGAGTAATATGTATTGATGTGTGAAAAATATTAATGATTAATAAGTATGTATTGATGTGTTGCTTTCGGTTTCTCTAGTATTGATGTGTTAACATCAGGCCTAAAGCATAACTAATTTTAAAAAATTGACATTTTAGTCTCAAAAAATTCACAAATGCACACTTTAATCTTCAACAAGAGAAATCTAAGAGCTTAAACTTTCTTCAACAAAAGCAAACAACACGTACAAATTAAAATACCTTAAGTAAAAAATAAATCTGTAGAATGAGTACTTGATGTTGCCATCATAAATAATCAAGGAATTGGACAAAAGACTTTAAAACCTGAAGGAATTAGTTACGAGTACATTGCTAGAAATTTGGAGTCTTTTGTTTGACAAATTCTCAACTTCTTACTGTGAAAAATGAAAGTATGAAGTAGAGGGGAGAAAGATAAATTAATCAATAAATGGGCTTATCCTATGTTAATTATAATAAATGAAAGTATTGCTTAGGAGAGAGAAGATGACTTATTTATATTTTCAAGAATATATTACGCATTCACACTACCTAGTTTCAGAGGAGACAGATTAGCTGTAAATGACAGCTTTGCTCAGTGTTTTCTCACTTAGGCTTCGATTAAAGTAAATTTCGGATTTTTGGGCCCTCAAAAATGGGAGGCCCTGTGCAATTGAACACTTTGCACACCCTCTTCAACGGGCATGGTTAGAGGTTATTTTGAAGAATTTTTGCTTTATTGGATAAACTTTGATTATGATTGGGCTTGTTAGCTGTGACAGTGCATGGTCCATCAGGAAAATTAGATCAAATTTGGCATGACATTATGACATAATATGGATTGGTATTAATAACTAGCATCCAGCCAAACAAAATATATTCTAATTAATAATAATGTGTATGTTAAATAAATTGATGATGACCATATCACGTAGGACTCATTGGCATTTGCTGAGGGAATTTTGTGTAATCTGATTGGTTTCACACATCTTGCTTTTTCATGTGAAACAATACATATATAATTGGATGCATATATATATATGGCTTTTGTTGCATGGTTTTGTAACTTGTTAATTGGACAGCTAACAAGATGGGGAAAATGCATTGGGATGCCCGTACCTCAACAAAGTATTTAGAAATGTTAATCCAAGAGAAAGATGCAGGTGGTCATAATAAGTGGAATTGGGAACTTGTCACTAAACAGTTAAGTGCATGCATTAATAAGGAAGTTAACTCAAGACAATGTGAAAATCGGTTGTTTGTTTTGAAGGGGCATTACAAATCTCATGTAAGATTATCTAACATGACTGGGTTAGTGCGAGACCCCATAACAAACAAAGTTGATGTCGAGAAAGAGAACGACACTGAAAGATGGCACAAATTCTTAGCGGTACGTACCTTATCCTTTTTTTTTACTACTTCGATGACATTTAAGATGAAATCTAATGTGTTGTAACTTTCCTATTCCAGGACTTTCCTAAATGTGGTTATGCAATAGTTACGAAGGGGTTAGCTAACGCAGAATTGATGGAGCAAATATTTCAGGGAACAACGGCTATAGGGGTCGGCGGATGCTTTTCACCAGCAATGGCAAGGGGTAAATCGATCTTGTCAAAGAAATTAGTTTCTCTTTCTACCAATGATGACAACGACGAATTTGGATACGTTGCTGAAGAGGGAGATGATGATGTTGACCCAAGTGAAGGTTCAGGGGATAACGAGAACATTGATAGTGATTATGTTGGTATTGATCTCAATGTATCAAACGCTGCCCAAAGTGTATCCCCTCCAAAGACTGTGCGGACAAAACTTCAGGGTGGTACTAGTATTAAACGAAAAAGTGAAGGTAGTATTGATACTTTTGAGGAAAAAATACGAAGAGCTAGTATTGATAATGTTATTAAATTGTTGGAAAAAAGTGTTGCATCTAAGCCTATGGACATATTTCCGTTGGTGATTCAAACTCTGAGTAGAATGGGAGTTGTTGTGGCACGAGGTCAACATTACTACATTCGTGCAGTGAAATACTTGGAAGAAGAGAAGTTTGCCCATATGTTCTTGGCACTTGAGGATGACGAAGCTAGGTGGTGGTACTTAAATGATACGTTGCCTAACATCTGATAAAGTAGAACTACCGTTGAATTATTTTTTATTCTAATTTGTTTGCACTATGTTTGTTTTTATTTCAGTTGAACTATGTTTTGTCTTTAAATTCAGTGAACTGGGTGTGTTGTTTTATTATGGTTTTTATTTGGACTGGCGATATGGGAATGTTAGAAGTGTTTAATGTTCTAATTTGGATTAATTAGATTTGGAATTTACTATTTGTTTAGGGTTGATAAATTGTTCTTATATATCATTTTCTTGTTTTGTGTAATGTAGAATGGAAGATGAAAACATTAGACAAGCATGCATGATTATTGCATTACAAGAACTCCGCGATTCACTAGAAGACAATCCTGATTCAACAACAATACCACCAATAAGGCAACCAAGAAGAGAACTAGGGGAAAGTGGAGCGCAATATATACATAGGTTGTTAACAGAAACTCCTACAGAATGTCAAATTCAATTAAGACTTGATCGACATATGTTTGTTCAATTAGTGAACTTGATGATTGAAAGAGATCTACTTCATGACGCTAAATATGTGAAAGTAGCGGAGCAAGTAGGTATATGTCTATATATTTTAGCAAAAGGAGTTTCATATCGTGATGCTAGCGACAAATTTAAGCATTCTATTTCTACAATATGCAAGTATTTTAACCAAGTGTTAGAAGCGTTGGTTATTTTGTCCTTCGATATCATTAGACCACATCGTGACTTATCAGAGGTGCCTCCCGAGGTAGCTAATAATACAAAATATTGGCCTTATTTCAAGGTATAACTTCATTATTTATATTCACTTGATTACATTTCAATGTCGAAAGTGTAGATGTTTATTTAAGAATTAATTATAAATGTCATCATTTGTCAGGATGCTATTGGAGCTTTGGATGGAACTCTTATCGATGCCATTGTAAGTGATACGAATGGTGTGCCATTTCGTGATCGGCATGGGAGAAAAAGTTGGAATGTCTTGGCTTGTTGTTCGTTTGACAGAATTTACACATTTATTATTGTCGATTGGGAAGGAAGTGTTCATGATACAACGGTGTGAAAAGACAGTTTGGGTGATCCAAAATTTAATTTCCCTCATCCACCTCCGGGAAACTCTGATTCTTCAATTACGTATTAAATATATATTTTCATTTATTATGTGTAAAATACTCTTAAATCTATATATTTCAGGAAAATATTATTTGGCGGACTCGGCATATCCAAATACTCTTGGATATATGACGCCATACTTCGGGGGAGTAAGAATACATATGCCTGATTTTAGAATACTGCCACCTAGAGGGTTACAAGAACATTTTAATAAGCTTCATTCATCGCTCAGAATGAAGGTGGAATGTTCATTTGGACAGTTGAAAAAAATGTGGAGGATACTACATAACATGCCACAAGTGTCACAAAAGAGTCAAATGTCAATCATTATAGCCACTTGCACACTACATAATTTTATTCGGATGCATAAGCTTGGCATACCAATCATTCAACATGACGCAAGTATAGGAGTAGCATATTCAACTATGTATGTACAATGGCGCAAAAAAAGTATGGCCAACGTGCGACATCGTATAGCACGCCGAATTTGGAGGGCTTATCGCTCGGAAAGTGACAATGAAGGTGATGACAATGAATATCAAGATGACAATGAAGATGATGAAAATGAAGATCATATGGAAGTAGATGGTTAATTCACCACAATGTTGTAATAATTTGAATATGTAATAATTTGAATATTTTAAACCATTATCGTTTTTTATCTATTCACTATAAACATATGTTAACGTGGTACACATCTATTTATGTTTTCATTCACACATCAATTATAATAGTGGTAGTAGTAATAATAATAATAATAATAATAATAATAATAATAATAATAATGGTAGTACAATGCGATAATGATAGTAATAGTAGTTAAATTACATAGTAACAACATTAATAATAATAATAATAATAATAATAATAAATTAATAATAATATTTGTATCAATATTAATAAAAATAATGCTAAAATCTGCTCTGCTCTGCTCAGCTGAAATCTGCTCTGCTCTGCTGAAATCTGCTCTGCTCTGCTGACCCTTGCTCTGCTCTGATCTGCCCAGGCCAGAAGCTCAAAAGAACAGGGCCTTATACCTTTTAACGGCTTGGTTGTAGAATTGAAATTTTTGTAATAATCTTCTTTCAAAAATATATAAAATAAAAATAAAATAAAATAAAATAAAATAAAATAAATTAAAAAAAAA